GGTTACGTTCAAAAGGGGGTTACATACTTACATGGTTGGAAAAGTAATATTGGGTCCGATCGCAACTGGTCATCTCGAGCTGCGAAATAGGAACCCAGATGAAAACCCGTCAGTCACCTTCAACTACTTCAAGGAAGCTAGCTAGCAGAGGAGGAGTCGCGAATAAGGTGCGTTGATGGAATGACAATCGTTAACAAAGTATTTGAATCCAAAGCATTCTCGAAATTCATGTACCCAGGCATCACTGTGGATCTAAGACCAAGACCTCATCAACGTGACTGCAAGTTTACAGCTCAATTTGCGACCCAGACATGACAACGACTCCATACCGATGCAACAGTTTTGCAATGATATAGTGATGACCCTTGTGGCATTATCACGGTGGCCAGGTCGGTAAGGTGCTTGACCATGACTACAGAGTTCTTGGTGTTGATGCGTCGGCGCTTCGAGTCATCGACGGCTCCACCTTTAATTTCTCCTCAGGCCACTGTAATTGGGTATTAATGCAGGTACATGGGAGTCAAAATGCTGAGGGATAGAATGACAGGGGAGTGAGTGATATTAACTCGTTCAATTAAAACTAACAAAGATGGGATGATTCTACTCCATCTCTTGCATGTTTTATCAAATATTCAAATGGTATCTTTCTAGCTAATTTATATAATATCACTTCAATCATAATCTGTTCGTCGCTGAGGCCTGGTTTGCTGTGCTTCAGTAACACACTCTTCAGTTTCCAATAAACCCAGTACTCATTAAGTATGTTGGTGTAAAAGGTTGTTAATTTGTGACTATTTCTAATTTGTAACAGTTTCAGGCCCAGAACATAAAATTGTCGTTGGACTTATGTGTCTAAAGTCTAATCAAGCGTTTTATTTGGCTTTTTTATTATTATTATTATTGGAAAATCAACTTAATAACATGGGCTAGCAGACTCTTGAGGTATATAGAAATTTCTGGCCAAACCCACCTGAACCATCCACTTAGAGATCGATGGTATGGTTCAGAACAGGGAGAACCAGTCTCGACCAATTATTAATTGGTTCCGTAAAATGGATCCAAAACTGAACCGATTATTAATTCGGGTACACGAGTAACAGCTTAAATTTTTGTGCTTGTCCACGCTACAAGTCCCATGGACTTTCCCGTAAGGTTGTGTATTAGATAATAAAATCCTATTTAATAACCTCACCTAGCTAACGACTTAAACTTAAACTTGGTTGAATTTTTCTTTGAGATGGGTATGACTAATTACGCTTGATGTCTATAATTATTTATGATAATAACAATTTTTTAACTAAAATTATCTTATATACCGTTTATGAAATTTATCCTTTTAACAAATATTTAGAAGGTTTTTCCATTTCAGTAATATATTCTATTAAATTATTTTTACATATTCCATTATGATAATTGATACCATGGATTATTACTTTATCAGTCAAATAGTTTTCAGCCAATTTCAATTCTCTCTTGCAGGGTTTATTTGAATGTATTGATTGTTTGTATCTGAATTCTACGCCGCAACTACCTAACAGGACATGCCTACATGGTTGTGTATTTGACTTGCTCAAAATGCATGCATTTAAAAGCGAAAATTTATTTATTTATTTGCTGACGACGGACGAGAGATACTGCATCCACAGTCCATCCATGCTATAGCTAGGCGAATTCGTCAACACAAGTACACAACTCAGAAAAGAGATTTCTTTAATTGGTAGTGGTTAGAACTTAGCAGTCGTCGCCTGCGGTACACGTTACTCAGATTTCTTTAATTGTTTTACTCTTAAGACTTGGTAGTGTCGTCGTAGTTGAGATACTCTCTAGGGTTGAACTGGACAATTATGCCACCTCTATAAATATGCACACATCTCTCTCTCTCTCTTAAGGTATTTAGCAAATTGATCTACTCTACCTCTACTACATAGAAATTAATTTAAATTGTCCCCAAGTTTTTTTAACACTTATTAAATTCTCCCTTTCCGTTAGTATTCATTAACCAAAATCTATCAATTCTTCTTTAAATTTTCAAAATGAAATACTTAAAGAAAAATACAGGCATCAAGCTTCTCACCCCACACCCCCGGCCCTGGTGATCATCTCTTCCAGTTTTACTATTCAATTTTACAGTTAGCAATGCTGAATGAAACATTAAGGCTGCATTTGGCATTCCCTTATTTTAAGGACTTATCTCCTTTTTGAGGTTAAAATGCCCCTATGAACATTTGAGTTTTTTAACTGCAAAAAGGAGATAGGTTCTTAAAACAAGGAATGCCAAATACAGCCTAAATAGCATTTCAAACCAGAAATTTAGTTTAAACTTGTAAACAAAGCCTGCAAATGCTCTAACCAAGAAAAGCACAAAAAAGAGATTAAAAAAAATAACAAATTTGGATTTATTATTAAAAATTTAGATATGTTAAATTTTATTTTAAAAATTTGAAGAATAATAGAGGACAAAATCAACTACAGCAGGGTAATATTGGGATTTCAAACAAATCCTATTCATTACACTGAGAGATGCTAACATCAAGGGAGGATTTACTCGATTGTTAAAAAACTTGGAGATACTTTTAACGCAATTTCTAAACAATATGAGTGGAGTAAATCAATTTCATAAAACTTATTGGGTACAACTTGGTTGGCCCAAGTTAATACTTTATACTACTACAGGTTTGAGCTTTCATGCCAAGTCCATATAAATTTTGACAAAAATCCGCCCAAGTTGCAACCCTAGTGACAACAGGGTTTGATCCCAAGTGATCCCAAGCCCCCGCATCATTTGATAAGTTGGGTGGTTGGGGGATTGTATATATAGTTTATATTTATAAAGAAGAAGCATACATTATTTATTTTTACAAAATGCGTGTGACATATTTCAGATAATTAATTGTATAAGGTAGTGCTTGGCGTGTCTTTTCAGTGAATCTTTCGGTCTATGGAAAACTCAAAAGACCAAAAAATGGTTTTTTCTCATCCGTATCACATAGACCAAAAGACATAAAGACAATTAGACAAAGCATGTAAAAAAAATTAAGGGTCTGTTTGATTTGCAGTCGGAATCGAAATTCAAATCCTTCGAAATTGGAATCGGAATAGTCAATTATCATAGTCTGTTTGATTCAGGCAAGAATGAGAATGAGAATTAAAATCGGCAGGAATGAGATTTCATTCCCAAGTGAGACAGAGAATGGCCATTCGTTCAAATGGGGGAATACCATTCCAGCAAGAATGGAAATGAGATTCCGATTCCACCCAACCAAACAGTTGGAATCGGAATAACCCATTCCAATTCCGATTCCAGACCCCTATTCCGACAAACCAAATGGGGCCTAAAAAATACAAAAATCAGATAGCTACAAATGAAACTTTTGGTCTTCCTTGCGTTAAAAATAGTCATTCTAACTGTTTTTACTAACCTAATAGACCATGAACCAAACAGTTTTAATTTTAAGACAAGAAAACTCCAAAAGCTGATCACTTCCATTCATCAATTGAACCACCTATGGATGATATCCCCATGTCATTGCGCCATCATGGCTGTTCTAATTCTATCCGTATCATTTACTAAAAAAAGAAAAACTATCTTCTTTTCTAATTTCTTAAACTTATTTTTATCCTTATTTTACATAACATATAGGTAGGGGGTGCAAATGGAAATGGATCGGATCAGATTCAAAGATCCGGCTTACCGTTAGGATTCAAATTCAAATTGAGGCCTATCAGATTTGATCATATCTTCGAATCAGATCGGATCTGACATGAATAGTATCAGATTCGGATATACTCTTTTAAATCCGACCCGATCCATTTGCATCTCTACACATAGGGGCCCATTTGGTTGTTGAGTGGTCCAACAAATAAACTCACTAATTCAGTCAGCGTCATAAAACTTAGGCCCCGTTTGGTTCAAAGGAAAAGGGCTCTAGAATCGGAATCGGAATGGACCCGATTCCAATTGTTTGGTTGGGCAGAATTGGAATACCATTCCCATTCCTTCTGGAATGACATTCCCCCATTTGAGGGAATGGTCATTTGTTGCCCATCTCTTGGGAATGAAATTCCATTTCTGTTGATTTTAATTTCCATTTTCATTCCTGTCTGAAACAAATAGACTGTGGGAATGAACCATTCCAATTCCGATTCTGGAGGATTTTGATTTTGATTCCGATTCTGATTTCGATTCCAACTACGAACCAAGATCCATTTGATTCATAGTCAGAATCGGAATGATCCATTCCCATAGTCTATTTGGTTCAGACGGGAATAGGAATGGGAATGGGAATTAAAATCAACAGGAATGGGATTTCATTCCCAAGGGAGGGGCACGGAATGGCCATAATGAGGGAATGCCATTCCAACAGGAATGGAAATAGAATTCTGATTCCGCCCAATCAATCAAACAGTTGGAACCGGAATAACCCATTTTGATTCCGATTCCAAACCCCTATTCCTTCAAACCAACGGACCCTTAAATGCTTCGGATTACTATGCAATTTTACTTCTTTTTTCTTAAACTTTGTTTTCGATGGGCTAGCTAGTAGCTACTTTTTTCTATGCCAAAAATGGAAAAAAAGTATAAAGATTTTTTTGGTAGGAATATACAGATGATGTGGACTGAGAGATATGAATAGATAATTTAGTTCAGATAGGAACCCCAATTCGATGGACGGTCCGGATTGTCATGCATCCCTCCACGTGGCTAAATGTTTTTATTACACGAATTATAATTGTTATCCTGTTCGGAATTAAAAAATAACATGAAAGTTGGAATTAGTAACCACCAAATATTAAATTATAGTGGGCAGAAAAGGTTGGCGTAGTCATTTCCTTTGACCAACACATCCTTCATCTGATCATCTCTCTCAAGCAACGAATGTATCACATCTCTTGAAAAGGTCCATTACACAACCCATTTTATGTTCCATTGGTTACCTTTCATTTTTATATAAAGAATCGATTTCTCTTTCAACTCTTGTTTATATATAGGGAGAGCTCATCCAAGAAAACCGACGACTGATCGGAGCAGTGGTTGTTGGATGGAGAAACCAGCAAAATCAATGAGCCGGCTCCTATCCTTTCTACCAAAAGCCACCGCGGTTACCTTTCAAAACCCACCTCTCAGCCCAGGCCGTGACAAGAGATCAGACAACTCAAGCAAATTCAAGCTCAATAACGGCAAAGCTTTTTCGGGTCCTATCATTTCTATAATTCCTGTGGAAGCTCGAACCAAGTCGAACAGTGGCCGCTTCGACGCACAGGAACCCACATCGCCCAAGGTGTCATGCATCGGCCAAATTAAGCTCAAGAAGAAGAAGAAGAAGATACCCAGATCCAAATCGAAGCGTGTGGCACCGCCTCCTCCCCAAGGCTCTAGTTCTACGTCGTCATCTCCGCCGGAGGTGAAAAAGAAGCCGTCTTCCGCAATTCGTAATATATTTCGTGGTGTTAGAACTGGTAAGAAAGCCATTGTTTCTGTTATGAAGCCACCAGTTGCGGATAAAACACCTTCTCTGAGTCAGATGAAGCGGTTTTCAAGTGGTCGCAATGCATTTGCCAATTTTGACTGGAGGGATCATGTGTTGTCGAACCACCCCGACAAACAGAAGGATGAGAGTGATGAAGAAGATGAAATCATTATCTCTCACTCGGCACCAATATTGGTAGGTGGTGGAGATGTGGCTTTGGAGCCAAAGAAAGAAATTAATCTATGGAAGAGAAGAACCGTCGCTCCCCCTACACCTCTTCAACTGAATAGCATGGGAAAACCAACTTGATGGAGGATCCGGTCTTCCCCCCTCCCTTTTTTTCATTCTTTTAACATCTGTTTTTCGATCCTTTGACAGTTGAAAGGTTCTGAACAAATTTGGATTTGGTGAGAAGTAATACGATTGTAGTAACTAGCGAAACAAAAAAAAAAAAAAAAAAAAGATTGTAGTCACCTAACATTACTACTTCATTCCATATTTAAGTGCTTTATTTTTCCGTTTGTTTAACTACGATTTGCTTTGAGATGAAGTGCTTGATCCAACAAGTATTTGAATATAACAGCCACCTTAATTGTAGTTGACGTTAACCTCATTTATTTTATATATTTCCATTACCCACCTCCTTTTGTTAGGTAAGCTTGGATTAATCCCAAAACCATATCAAGTATGCCAATTTTGTTGTTGGAATCTAAAAAAAATAGTCTTTTATTTTGTTTAATTATGAAATTACTTAAACCTCCTCTTTCCAACAAATACTTAAAACCTCCCCTATATTTGACTTCCACCAAAAACTCAGTGTCATGTTTCAGAAAAATATGTAAATGCACCCTCCCCTTCCTTAATTGTCTTGACAAAAAATGCTCATATAATGTTTTAAAGTTTTTAAAATCTTGTTTTTTTCCAATGAAAAAACTATATTAGGATAAAAATTTATGAAATATGCCCCCTTGAAAAAAAAGGGGGGATTCACTTTTTTTAAATAGTTCCATAAAGAATCCCAATTCCATCCCCATAACACGTCAACCGTGTAATGAATGAAAACCTATAAATACAGAAATGTTCCGGCTACAATTATTGCGAGGATGTTATAAGGACAATTTTTGTGAGGATGAAATCCATCTATTTTATAAAGGCTAATTAAGGGCAAATTTGGACTTAAAATTCAATCTCCTAAGCAACGATACTATATTCAGACAATATAAAAAGAAAATAACAGTGTTTACTATGTACTTCATGACAAAGCCATAATTATAATTTTAATATCTTCATGATTTCATTGCATTGCATGGTAAATTGGTAATCAATGGAAGGGTGTATTTGTATATTTATTTAAAACTTAAGAGCCAGTTGCAATTTGCAAATGGGTTAAGCAAATTAAACAATTACAAGTTCTTATAATACTTGGTGTGGTGTGACGCTCCAGCTACCCATTCCTAACCATGACTGGCAATTGGTAAGGTCACTAAATATTTGACCCATTATCGGCTTTTCCCATATATAGTTAAAACAATGTTTTGCAAACTATTGTTGATATGGGCCGTTGAATCCTTTGAATTGTTATTCAATTAGGGCTGTAAATGGGTCAGGTCCGACCCAATGGGTCTGATAAAATTTAATCAAATGAACCGGTTCTGGTTCTTGATATATTGCTTCCATTATTATTGGTTTGGAATTGATTATATCTAGTTTTGAACTGATTTAAACTCGACTCAAGCTATAGATATAATTTTGGGTAGGTTTATTATAATTGGGTCTATCGGGTCAGACCCAATTGCCCTAATAATCATTTGATTTGTTTCTGGGTCTAAAATTACGGGTCTGATTCAGTTCTGGGTCCATTGTATTTCTTGTCGGGTTGGTTCCCGTTCTACCTGGACAAGATCTGTTGACAGCCCTATATCTAGTGTTAATTTTGGTCTAAATTAACTCCAAATCTGAAAGTTGTAAAAGAAAAAATATTGACTTAATCAAAAATCATTCATCTAGGCGGTTTTTGCTTTTTTTTTTTAAAGGTTTTTCTGCCTAAACGTGGACTAACCCATTTGACTGAATCTTGACCTGGGTGGCGCTGCACGTTTGAGTGCCTGGTTCCCCGCAGGCTGCAGCTATAGCATAGTTGATCATGTTCTTCCATTAGATTTATCCAATTTTGGCTATTTTATATTATTGCGGCCTTTATGGCCTTTATTGAAACAATTCCCAATTCCCTGAAATAAGTTCAAAGTCGAAAGCAATAATGTTGTTGTTTGTTTAACGAGTGACTATAGATCCTCAACAAATGGGGCTAAAAGATATCATGCCCCTGGATTTCATGAACAATGCAGATAAATTGGGCTACATGAAGCCCATTTATGTTTATCTGTTTGACCCGTAGGCACAGTCTATTTACAAAGAAAGTGTTTTGAGTGAATGGAGGAGGAGTGCGTGGGAAGTCGAAACTGGAAACCATTTGATTGGTAGAAGTTTAGCAGATGAAATATTAGATTGAGCCCCGAAGATGGCTTGGTAGGATCTAGGAAGGATCATCAATCTTTCTGTTGTAGCCTTTCTAGTTCTAGGTGGAATCCACTAATATGCGCTCTTAATCCCTATTAAAAAATTATATTTGGCTCATTGGCTGTCAATGAACTTGACCTGGTCGTCAAACCGTCAAATTGTTTGGCTTGGCATCCTGCGAAAGAAAACTCCAGTAGCACCACTCGTCTGGGCACCTTCGATAAAATAAGATTTCCATGTATAATTTTAAACATAAGTTCATGTTTCACTTTAATTTTCTGCACCCTTGGTAGGATGTGACTGTGACTCTGAGTTCGGTCGGAGGATTCAAGGAAATGTAGGGAGGTGTCCCTACCTTTTCTTTCAAATCAAACAGGTTTTAAGGATTTAAGGATTGCTGGCGGGGTTTAGGATTTTTAGGTTTTAGGGTATAAGGTTGGGGTTTAAAGTTTTATTTAGAATTTAGAATTTAGATTTTTAAAGTTTTATTTGCTTTTCTGTAAGTTATTTATCTAGATAAATGTAATTTACCTAAGTTTTTCTTGGAAACTCTTACCTAGGTAAATGCATTTACCCATGTTCTTTTATTTCTTAGGTAAATAAAGCAATGGTTATTTTAGCCATAGAAATTTATTATTGAAATGGTCATTTTTGTTCCATTCAAGTGTTGATAACTTTTCCCATATGTGAGAAATTTATTTATCCACCAGAGAAATGAATATCAATTTCTTGGATAAGTAATACCTAAAAAAATAAAATTTTCCTGATCTCCACATAAAACTAAAAAAAGAATATAAAATTTTTTATCACCAAAAACCAAAATCCTTTTAACCAACTTTCTCCCTTTCTAAATCAAAAAGAAAAGAACGCCCCATAGGAATCAATAACCAATAGGTAGGTAGGTGTAGGTGTTCGAACTTTTGTTGGACCATGCCATGATAGGATTAGGAGCGAACTTACAACTAAGGCCCCGCTATCAAATAGCAGCCTAGGCTTGTGGGCTCAGCCCATCAACAACCCGATAATCTCCCATGTGGCAGTTGACTTGGATCAGATGGTTGAATTGGTGGACCGAAAACTTACAAAGTTACAATTACAATTGGCTCAGGCCCGTTCTCCTTGCATGACGATGACGTCCATAATACTTAAATGATTCGGCCCTCGTCTTACACAAGATGGGACAGCACTTTACACATTTACAACTCCCTTTTAAAAATGGCACTAAACTGATCAAGGGAGAAAAAGAAAAGATTTGATTTGATATCCATTTGAAATATTCATATTCATGGTCTGAGACTCGTAGCTGCAAAAATGGTATCGAAATTGAAAAGCCCAAATTTCACGATGAACTGAACAAAGACAGAAATAGGTCATAATAGCTCCTCAGGGATGCTCTGGAGGACAGGCCTCCACGGACTGCGGCTTCCCTTACTACGATCGGGTCTCTTGAAATGCCTTCTCCGCATAATAACGTTTAGGCATTGTTCCGGCGACGATGATAATAATACCGACGTCAATGAAGGCGGCGAAGATGGTGTTTGATGGGCGGTACCGGCATTAGTGACACTGACACCTCCCATCATTGCCACCATATGCTTCAGCTCCTTCTTCCTAACCAGAATCTTTATCATCACCATGCCGTCCTCATCGCTACGGGAAACAACACCCCCGGCCCCGCCATGGGCTTGGGCAATCGCTTCCAGTTCCACTACTTTGCAGCTTCTAGCCTTTAGACTCCGGGGTCTGGAAATCCGGCAATCTCTCTTGATGAAGGAAGATTTGGCCCGATTTCATAATCAGTCAACACGTGGCAAAGGCAAGCAGCTCAGCACAACAGCGCACCCAGGGCGCAAGCACCAAAGGGAAGAAACCAGCAGTCCGAACTCCCTATTAGGAGGCTGAATTCCTTACGAGGAGCCCGACCTCCCTACGAGGAGCCCGACCTCCCTACTAAGAGCTCGAACTCCCTATGAGGAGCCCGACCTCCCTACGAGGAGCCCGAACTCTCCCTTAGGCCC